CGCTTCCTATGAGGTTTCCACTAAGTATGTCACGTAGAGACCAACCGCACAGAAATCACATGGAAGTATTAAAGTATACTAGTAAGTATTAAAGTATACTTCAATGTGATTTCTGTGTGGTTGGTCTCTACGTGACATACTTAGTGGAAACCTCATAGGAAGCGGCTCTGAATAAGGCGAAATCCGCCGAAACGTCAGCTTAATCGTGAACAAAGAATAATAACACCTCGCGTTTGCTCAACAAAAATACGAAGAAAATTAACAATCAACGTTTTTAATTCTGCTCTAATGAAGTATCACAGCATTTCTAAGAAATATTAACTCACTACTCTTGGTGAACCGCCTACCCTACTAATGACAATGTTCTTGACGGTAAATATCAAAGCAGGTTTTCTCTGAGTAGTAGAGTGTGAGATACAGTCGACGTATTCAGAACCACTCAGAAGCTCGGGAGAAATTGTTAAGTAATCGGATAGATGCTGCAAAAACGGTGCCATGTCGTCATGTTGAATAAAAACGCAAGCATTCGGACCGGCATCGAAAGTATAAGCAGCTCGTATTTGACCTCGTGAATTAAAGTTGTCCACTGCGCGGACGACCATCCACGATGCATCCGACATGTACTGAAAAGGTTTAATTTCATATCCCAGATTCTGAAAAAAAAAGAAAAAAGTAGAGGAGGGTAGGGTAGGGAACAGTGATTGTTATCAACTCGTTATATAACGGAAAACAACCCTTCAACATTACACGTGCATACTTGTTGTCTGCGTAAATCGGAAATAAGTCGGATGAAAATGCAGTTTGTATAAAACTCATGGTGTGAAGGTGAACAAATCGAACCAAACCCTTCGGGCAAAGTATCTCAGGAAGACCGCCAACCAGCTAACGGACCCGGGACTACGCGATGAGCACTTGGATTCAGTGATGTTCATAGCGGTCTATTTTATTCAGAAGAGACTTCGACTCTTACTTCAACCACGTCGAAAACTGCGTAGAGCACTACAGAAAGCTTGAACAATGCCTTCTGAAATATCACTCACCACCTACACGGTGGGTATTTATAGCTCTCGACTATGGCTTAGTAACTAGGCCTCGCGGATATCACCACTCCAGGCAGACAAACTCTTCCTGAGGTCAACAGTGCTCCTGAAGAAGGGCTATACAAGTAACCAAGCATTCTGTCTAAAGATAATCGAAAAACTTGTTTTTACACACCGAGATTCAATGTTATTAAGCAAACTAGGAGATGTTTAAGTTTCATTTAGGCTTCCTCGAGGTCCCACATTCTTAGCAGGTAAGTCGGTTAAGCGCCCGAAATACTAAAAAACATCCTTTGTTTGCATAATATATACGTATATATATATATATATATATATATATATATACATATATATGTGTATATATATATATAGTCCTAACTACATATTAGAAAAAGAGCAAATGTGAAAATTATGGCAAATATAAATATGAATGCAAGCCTACCCTGAGCGGAGGATATGTATCCAGACAAATCGCATGGAACTGGTTGCTGTCCGCCATTGTGATACGTGCAAATTCGTCAAAGTCATGCGCCTTGAACGCTTCATACAACCTCAAAATAAGATCTTGATAGTCTTGAAAGAGAAAGAGTTTACTGCATAGAGATGAGCAAGTTATGAAAATTCATACATCCTAATTCGATTAGGTACGACTTCTTTCGCACGATACGGCAGAAGTGTACTTGTCTTCACAGTTCTTCGCATTCCTTCGCTACTACCAACCTCCTTCTCGGACTCATCCAGTACAATGATAATAGCACGAAGATCAGGCCATGTCCACTCAGGAAGAAGTTGCTTAATCATTGTTCTATTATAGCAACATCATATATATACACGTATATACATGTAGGTAAATATACATATTTATACAAATATATATACATATTTATATGAAACGAACTCTCGACACCAATAGACATGATTTAACGTACATGAAGTGGCCACAAGACTTGTAGGTGTTCAACAGCGAGCTAACAAAAAATGGTAGAAACGAAGCTCGACGCCTATTTGATCATTTCTGCCTAAAGAATCCAATCTAAAAACGCCGATAACAGACAACCTTAGAGACGCTATCAATCCCAGAAGATTCAATTCCTGCATCCCATTCCACCAGCCCACCAAAAACGCTGCGACATGCACTGCCAGACCCTGAAAAATACTAATTGTATAATAGAACATATCTTACATATTATGCGACATTTCGAAAACAATCTCTGTGAAATAAAACGATATATAAAAGGTAACGACGATGTCAAGACATATTGAATGAAACCGACCAACTTGTTCAAGAAAACTTCGGAGAAGAAAAAAGGAAATGACCACGTGCAAGATTGCGCATTAAAAACAATATCTTTGTTATAAGCCAACTGGCAATTAATGATTGTCTTGACGTCGTGTTTCCGGTTATCGAACGTTTCTAATTCACGAGTTTTGACTTTGTCATAGAACAATTAAAACAGCTCAGAACGTCGGTAGACTTCACAAAACACAATACCTTAGCAAACACAGTTGTGGCATTGCGCATTGATTGCAATGCATACTCAAGATGTATGAAGGTATAACAGAGAGCACACACTTATTTCTACACTTTCATTTCGGTGGTTCTCTTCGACGCAATTTTCTGCTATATTTTTAGTATTCAATCAATGGCCTCTGTACAAGTGTTGTGTAGACATAGTCCGAAAGAAAAACAGTACCCCGTTTTCAATTCAGTGGAAAAATCTTTTACAGGCGAGTTCGTTTACACATGGAGATCGCTGAATGGCGAGGAGGATACAAAAATATCCTAACAGGCAACAGTGGCACGAATACGAACACAGGAATCCCACAACTGTTTCACTTTTGTACCGGAGGAGTCGCGAATTTCGCTAATGAAGCAGATACTTGATTTCTCCTTTTCTTGAAAGAAGGGGAAACATTGAAGAACGTGCATTGATCTCACTACGCTTCGCAATCACCGAGAAAATGCTCGTTGCCACTCGATAAAAGAATAAAAGGATAAAGGACGCTTGATAAAGACACCAAATTTAAGTCTTGTGGTCAGCATTTCAAAGATTTAGAATACCTTCTTGAAGTTAAAATATTCAAGAATCAATATGTCAAAGACGTATCTCTAGATGTTATGGATTCCACAACACGACTGTTTATGTTTTATGAACTTTGGTTATGCTAGCAGAAAGGCATCAATTCTAATCAGCGTATTTTGTCCGACGATTCTAACTCCCATTCCAGACCAAGTTCCTCCTTTATCCATATGGATGAATTTTCGAAGGTTTGCAGCAGTGGTGGATTGTCGATAACCCACCCTGGTTTTTCTTTTGAGAAAACCACGAAAATTTTCGACAACACTATTTACTGTGAGAAAACAATTTTGTTTAGTTCTTTTTGTTATGAAAAAAACATTTACTACACAATGAATCTATATTGTGATTTCAACTACATCATCAGCTAAACTGATTCAATACTGATTTGTGCGTGCCAGATCAATCGCGCTTACGGGTGGCTGCTGATAACACTTATAGGTTAAACACTACGACTGAGACAACGGCGAAACGTGTGCTAGTGATCACGTTAGCCTTCGGAAAGGATAAAAGCGTGTTCGTTCCTCACCGCAGCCACCTGCGCTCCAGAATTTTCCACATATCTCAGCATCATTGTGGTTATATTGCACTTATTTTGACTGAAATACTTATTTCAAGAGAGGCAGGTATTGAAAAAGTACTGCAAAACCTGTACCACGTTCCCTATGAATGGATATATAAACTGCGTGCAATTCTCATTAGCCACCTGGATTCACTACGGGTCTGGTAAACCAGGTGAATGGTGGGACTTAATAAAAGCAGAAAGATTATGCACACTACCAACGGAATTCCTAGTAAAGACACAGACAAATGAGGATTTACTCATAAACTAACCAGTTCTCGCCAAAGCAGAGACTTCATTCGGGGTTAAATCAAACATCACACCAATAGCAAATGCGATTGCAGCAAATCCCGCAGCAGATGATGCCAGTCCGGCTCCAACAGGGAAGTTGGTCGTGGAAGAGACCTAAATTATCCTACACGCAGTTTACAACATGACAAAGGATACCAAATGTATACCCGGAGAAACCTCCCGTTTACCACATCATCGTACGAGGTGTTCCTGGGTGTCCGGTTGCGATATACAGCGTGGGTATTCATCCTCTCAGCAGGGTCTCCGCCAAGCTGAGGAGTCCGATGTTTCCATCAGCAAGCCCAGCTACGAGTAAACCAATGCCAGGATCCACCACTCTCCTGGTATGGTACCAAACTAGTTGCATAGTGGCAAATTTCAATCTGATCCACAAGCGCTGCGACTGCCAATGGTAGTGACGACCTAGGGGAGACTTTGGGCAGGCTGCCCTCGGGACTCCAGAGAACCACAATGGCTAAATCAGCAAAATTCCTGAGAATGGAAATTATGCTGTGGCCCGCACACCCAGTAAACACAGGCTATCCAAGTATCCAACTATTCATGTTTACCCGAAGAAAACAAAATAAAGCTAATTAAACCCAAAAAACCTGAAAAGAGTACTGTGTTTCCGCCACGGAGTTCGAATTGTCGTCGGTCATTGAACGCCCTCGTATGAGTAGTCGAGCATACTGAACAGTGTAGTAGAACTACCAAAATTACTCAAGTAAATGGTTAGCGTGCTTCTGTTCTTCAGAACATCTCTAGTACTAGAATATAAAATCAAATATGTTTCAAAAACGAGACTGTATTCTCACATTAAAGCAATGAACGAATCGCTTGCTACGCTTCAGATCCACGACGACATTGTTGATGCTCACTGAATCGGCTGAACCATTGGACAGACACTGTACCCGAGTACGAGCAAAAACATCATCAATATTCAGCGATACTGAGTTGTTTACGGGAATGATACGCTCCTGCATATGACTATCTAAGTCTATTAATAGGGATATTGTAACTAATTAAAGTAAGAAGCTGAAGAAGTCGTTCTAATTCATGAAAATGACCAGCTGCAATCTCGTTACGCCTATGAACTTGCTGGTCAATTGAATAATGAAGCCAGGTCTCATTTATTTCATATGGTTATGCCCATAACAACAGGACCATAAGACCATAAATAAAAAAAGGATAAAGCTCTCGGCGTTGATCAATTCCTGGCGCATGCGCCATACATACAACTTCATTGAGTATCCTTGGACGTGATTGAATATCGCTGATCGCCTCGATCGCCTTTATCGAGGCTTTACTTGATCGTGCCGCCTTTATAATGGCTCATACCGGTGGCCTACCGATGTATGTACCAGTGCTGCCATCTTCCCAAAGAGGTCTGCTATCAATTCGGCGACCCGGAAGGATGTAATGCTTGCTGAGCCCGGGGAGCGGGATCGATCCCAGGTCGATCCCACGTGTAGTGCAAGGCGACTCCGACCACTGTGCAATACGCGCCGTAGGAACATACACCTTCCCTTTATCTTTATCTTTACATAACCCGCCTTCACACCTACTGTGCGCATTCCAGCACTTCTCACATTCGATTTGTTCCCTCGCATCCAACATCCATGAAGGTCTTCCAACTTTTACGTGTGGCTTCGGCTGCTGCTTGAGGATTTTCATTTCATCTTGGATGTCGTAGAATGCTGATCTAGCAATTCCCCTTGGAGTTCTGAAATAGCCGGGCTCGAACGTTCCCAACTGGATTGCAGAGAGTCGTTTTTTCCCGGACATGTATGGTACTAATTTCCGAACCCCGAAGGGATTAGAAGCTTGGTGAGCCCGAAAGAGAATCGAACTAGCACCATATAAGACCATACATAGACTACTTTAATTGTAAAGGTGAACTACTAACTAATGAACGCACAATAGAAGAAGAACAGAAAATTCGACTATAAAAAACGTCCAGAAAGACTGACTATCCTCACCTCGTCTTTTTTACCCCAGTACTTAATAAGTGCAATATTAATCGGTACTTCAACCTCAACAATTCGCTCTGTGATGTCAGTACTCATACTGCAAGGTGAAAATTGGTACATTTCACAGAAAGGAACAAACTTCCGGGAATATCACGCCACGACAAAATCGTTTCATCAGTGAGAAGAAGAACAAGAAACTTTGCGTTTAAACGAACAAACTGAACAAAAAGAACGTAGGCATACATGCTTTATGAAAAAAGAACACCAAATATTATGAACTATTGACAGAAGCAAAGACTTAGGCAAGCCGCCAAATAATGTGAAGACCAGAATCTGTTTCAACGATGTCACTCATTTCACCGACGTCCAGAGCAAAAGACGCATCCTCGAATGGCTTCTGCATCTGCCGTCGACCGAACATTCCTGAAAAGCAGTCATGATCATTGCAGAATAATAAGAGGATAGAAAAGAATAAAACTCTCGGCGTTTATCTATCCTTGAGGGATGCGCCATGCACTCCACTTCATTAAGCATCGGAGGTGATTGAATGCATAGATGACCTTTACAGTGACTCGCGATGGCCTGCCTATCCATGTATCGAGCCAGTGCTACTGTCCTTTCAGACAAGTCTAGTACCAATTTGCCAACTCCGGAAGGATGGAAGGATTGGTAATGTCATTGCGAGTCATTGCAAAGGCCAGATATACATTCATGCACCCCCAACGACGCTTAATGAAGTCGAATGCATGGTGCATCCCGCAGAGATTCATCAACGCCGGGAGATTTTGTCCATTATGAAGTCTAGCATTGTTAGTGAGCATCGTAATGCACTGTTTTTATACGATCAGCTCTTCTTTTACAACGATAAAAGCCATTATGGACTATTCGGAAAACACTACGTAGGAAGCACAAATAAAGCTCATCTCTAAAACGAAGAAGGAAACTATATGCTCTATAATGCTAATAGTGGCAAATACAAGCTTATACAATACCTTAATAAAAAAGTCGCGCACAATAAAATCTGTATAACTGGACCTCAGTGCTCGTTTATAACGAAAAAAGGAGAAAAAAAGCTAACGCACCGAGATCTCCACCTCTCTTCGCTGAGCTACAATCGCTGAACTGCTGTGCCAGCTTCCGAAATGTCGACTGCGGATCGCTGGAGTTACGTATTTGTCGAACGTAATCTTTGAGAATGTTCCGTGCATCCTCCTTACTTCGCGTAATATTATCCGACCGCCAACTCGACGGACGACGACTGCCAGCATGCTTTACCAGCAGATGAGCTGCTCTGACTTGAGTCAGATCAGAACCTTTTCCGAATGCTGGTTCAGTGGGACGCTCCCATTGACTTCGACCCGTTGCTTGATTGTAGTAGTATTCCTGATTGTTTGTACGACTCATGCGCTTCTCCCAACCACTAGGAAGCGGCTGCTCCGACATCTGGGTGCGCTTCTGAATAGAAATAAAACGCTAACTTCGTTAAACATTCAAACATCTACTACACCTGACCATTCAACTACTACGATCAACATGACGGATGCCCAACCACAACAACTTGTGGAAGTTGACTGACTTACTAGCGAATTAATAGAAGAATTAGAAAAATATAAAACAGATTAGAGCGCAAAACAAACAATTCTGAAACAACCGCAACGATGTTGAGGTGTTTGCAAAACTCAGATCCCACGCCAGATTCGAAACCACAATTATCCTTTCCCTAAGCTCACGTGTACCACAATTGCATCACTGAGGCCTTTGCTTTAACTTTCTCTCAACCAGTTTCTTGCCCTAACGGTGCCATCAGCAATCATACGTCAACGGACATGATCTGCGGAGCACAAAGCATAGAAAGCGCATTGAACCCAATGAGACAGACGATCCATTCGAAACCACAACGTTTAACTTTTATTTACTGCCTATTGTTTATCTCATGCAACGATACAGGCAGTAAACAAAAACCTATACAATAAGATTTCCAAAACATTTGAAAACCATAAGCAACTTGCAAGTGAAATTACGTAGTTAACCAAGTCCAGCTAAGAGTAAACCAATACCAGGATCCACCATCGTCCTGGTATCAAACTAGTCGCATGGCGGCAAACCTCGCTCTGATCCACTAGGACCTCGACTGCCTGTGGTGGTGACGAGCCGGTCAGACTTTGGCTAGGTTGACCTCGAAATTCCAGGAAACCACAACAGCTTAGGTACTTGGACGATCCGTCTTCAATGGTTGTGCGGACCCCATCATATTCCCCATGTTTCGGAATTTTGCTGGCCCATCCACTGCGTTTCTCTGGAGTCCCGAGGTCAGCCTGGCCAAAGCCTGCCCCTGGTCGTCAACACCACAGGTGGTCGCCGCTCTTGTGGATCCCATAGATTTGCCACCATGCAACTAGTTTGATACCAGCACGGTGATGGATCCTGGTATTGGTTTACTCCTAGCTGGACTTCCTCATGGAAACTCAGCTTGGTAGACCCTGTCGGAGGGATGAATCCACCCGTTGTATGTCGCAGCCCGACACTCAGCAACACCTCCCCCAGCCACAATGAGGCGTTAAACCGTTAGGAGGAACACAATAGTTAAACCAGCAAAACTCCGACAAAACGGAAATTATGCTGAGCATGCAGAACCAGTGAGGGCTGGCCATCCAAGTACCCATGTATCCAACTTGGCCATTGACTTACTATAAAGGTTTTCTTATTCCCGAACAACTGTGCACTTTAGCACACTATGTTACCCTTAAGCAAGACGATTCATACATATCTAGGTAGCTAAGGTGAAAGGAAAACTGAATCCATGACTTCCACGTCAGCAATAAATCATTTCATAGCTGTTCATTTAAACGTAATCAGGAACTTGGGAAACTAAACGTTTCCCACACCTTGTTCTAGATAAATTTAGGACTTCAACAAGTATAACGCAACTAAAAACGCAAACGTTAAGCTTTATTTTCGGTAAAGCTGTTATTCTATGAGATGAGATTTACTTAACAAATATGGCTAACAATAATAATAATATTGATAAAGTGAATCATGACTTAAAAAAGAAGGAAAGCTACATGAAACAGGCAAGCATCACTAAGTGAACAGCATCACAAAGAATTATGAACGTTCCCATTGGTGGGATAATAATGAAAGACATCTTAAATGCACAACCTTTAGAAATATGGCAACGGATCCATCACACGAGAAAATGTTTAACATGTAGATAAAAATATATGTAACCTAATTATGATAGAAAAATGTTGGTAACCACTTAAAACACTTCATCCTACTAGTGCTTCGTTTTCGTACTCCTTTTTCTCTTCCATATTTCATCAGATATCACATTCACCAACCACGCTTCCTCGCCGATACTGTGGGCATATGGTCGTTCGTACATGGTTTTTGCATTACCATGCGGAGTCGGTAAATATGGAGAGTCTTGAGAGTCAAGGGAGTGCTTAACGTGGCAAAACAGTTACGTCGAAATCTGACTATGAAATACTTCCGACTGAGTCCAAAGACAATAAAACTGATACCGTTTTCAAAGTGATCAGATTCCCTTTGAGTGAACGAACACGCCACGACCTCCTTCTCGAAGCACAAGAAGGTGGTACACCTGAGGTTGATATGGAGAAAGTGTAATTCGTTTTCGAACCCAATTCACTTCCTGTCCTCTAAAAGCAATTATATACGGCCGTATGAATTACTAACAAGAAATTTTCGAATGACTCACAATAAATACACTGCATATACATAGTCCCTAAAAAAAACCTCATTCCGATTCAGTGTTGGCGTATTTCTAAATTACCACCTGAATCCATGCAACCAAGCAGAACCACCCAAAAGATTTACGGCTTCGTCGGGGTTGGTTGGTATAGTATGATGCCAGGATGTTTTAATAAGGGTGCCAGACTTTGATGTGGTCGAGTTAACCAAAAATTCACCGAGTTAATGGTACACCGAAGTAAATTCCCGCCAAAATCCTTTACATTTTGTTACAGAAAAAACCAAAAAAAATATAAACACACCTCAAGAAGACATTGACGACTTTTCTTTATCTGTACATTAAACCGCTCAATACGAGGTGCATTTTTAATTGGCTTTTTCTGAAGCGATGGTATGGCGTCTGATTTATCGCTAAATGTTTCCCGCTCATTGTACGCCAAATGGAAAGTGTCAGGCAGCGTTTTCAGCTTAAACACATCACGTTTGGGTGATGTTGTTGATGATAAGAACCTAAAACCTCGTATATTAACAAGCTTATCAAAAAAACTTACAAATATTTATGAAAGACAGCAGGTTAATCACAACGAACCATTCACTGCGACTTTTCATTCGACGTGCCTGATTCTTATGCACCCATTCCAAACAACTAAATGAACGGGATGTGTCGTCACCGCAAGCCATTAACGGACGTAAAAAGTCGGACGTACATGATTCTGAATCCAAAGTACACGTACCATGAAGTTCCTGAAAGTAAAATACGTCCGCATCAGAAACAATTCTAACAGTTAAATATGATAAATGATTGCATTAAAAAAAAACAAACGCGTCCAATATATTCGCAAATAATGAATGCGGTTCAGTATCAATGTGTCAAATAAAGGATAGGGAGTGGCGCGGACCATTAAGAAGCAAGGTCGATCTCCTCCTAATGCTCTCCTCGAATCCACGTGGAAACGCCTTTGCACGACTAACTCCAAGATTGCAAGAAGAATCGATTTGACCAGGATTCTACGAGATTCACAAAAAGATGAAACCAAACAGCAGCCAAAGCTACATAAGAAATGTCCGAAGAGCATTGTGAACAATAATGCTACCAAAACGAATCGAATGCTGGAAGTGTTGGAATCTTCACGGAAGACGTGATGAAGGACCATGCAAAATGAAATAAATAAATAAACGATAGAGAGGACAAAGCGTTCGACGTTGATCGATCCCTGGGGAAGCGTCATGCATACGACTTCACCAAACATCGCAGAGGTTACTGGACACATATCTGGCCTAAATAATAACTTGATCCTTACAGATAAGTCTGCTACTAATCTGCCGAACCCACAGGGATGAAAGGATTTGCGTGGCCAAGGAGCGGAAACGGAGCATCGACGGCCTGTGTCCTCGTCTTGTTTTGTTTTTGTTTTGGAGGACATCTCTAACCATCCCCAACAATGTATTTTTGTGTAAAATACCACCAGAAATTCCGCATTTGAAAACTTCCAGCTCATCTGCTTTGTGTTTAGGTCTCGATAGCATTTGGGAAGAAGAAACGACATTCATCACTAAGCTTCGTTAAGTGATGAAGGAAGTTTGGAACCTTGCATTTCAAGGATATGTTTCTAGGTGTTTAATCTCGAGTTAACAAGAGATATTGTCCTTCTTCTTTCAGGTAAAAGAAGACCTTGACAAGGAATAAACAAAATCCAAGAATCGCCGCCATCACAGAAGAAACCCATTTTCGAAATGGAAAACCTCCCTCCCATTTATAATTGTAAGCAAATGGATTTGGTGACGACATAGCCTAACATGGTTGTCTCTATCTCTAGATTTTTTTACTTGGCATCACATACTATGTGGACCACAGCACATGAATTTGGTTCGTTTCTTCATATCTATTATCCACGAAGTTTCCCAAAAATTTTGCGCGTGGCTTTCCAGCTTGGGAATTTCCGTCTTCTTTATGAATGCCGTTGAGTGCTGGTCATGTGGACTCTCTCTCTAGACTCCTGGCGTAGCCCTGTTAGAGCGTTACCGCATAGAATGCAGAGAGCGAGATGATCTCAGACAAGTCTTGTACCAATTTCACGACACTCGGGAGATGAGCGGTCGGCTAACCCAGTCGGATCGATCTCGCGTGTATTGAACGGCGTACTCATAGAAAAATTGTAATCTAAACAGAATTTCAGTATAGTAAGTCACGGTTACGTAACGTATCCCTTAACAGCCGAAAACTTTTAAATGCAAACCAAATGTGACTAAGTGGTCTGAGAATTGAGTTAAAGGGATTGCTCCGCTTCTACTGCAATTGGTTGACATATATAGCCAGCTCATCGTACATTATCATATTCAAATAATATACATGGTCCTGGATGTGTTTGTTCGTACACGGATTGTAATATTCTGCACTTCGATGCGGCCAATAACTTGTAGCCACTGCAAGACTAATATGAAATTCCTCAGAAGGAAAAATATTGGAAGAAAAGCGTATCTATGTTTTCAGAAATCCAACCTTTTCAACCAAAGAACAAGCCACTGCGTACAAAACAAATTAAAATCTGTTTTAAAACCAGACATCCCACAATAGAGCACGTTTAGATCACTGGACTCTTCTTGATGCTATCTTAATGGGTCTCTAATATGCATAAGGTTCGTTGGATATGTTATGTACGGCAGACAAGACAAAACCTTCCACATGTGAAATATGAAGATGCGTTTTCGTACAAGAAAATGCAACGCACAAAGAAGTCATCATGACCTTACTTTAATAAAAATTTAGATTTGTTGAATGTTTCGACACTTCAAGCTTCTCCAAAGCTAAACATAACGTCGTTAGTTGTAGCACCGACCCTATTTCAGTTGCACATCGCCATATCACAAGCAAGAAAGAAATCATTTTTGTTGCACAACAGTAATGTAGAATAGTGCTTTAACTTTACTATTCAATACTCCAGTTAGTAGTTTTTGATATTCGAATTCGAACTACGTTTTTAAACAAAGTGACATTCTTAAGTAGCAGCCCTTACACAAACGTTTTGTGTGGACCACACGTCTCCAACACTTATTAACACGATCGCTTTCACCCCATCAAAAAAGAAACCTTTCAAAATGTATATTGTACCGCAAAATGAGGCACCTGTAGCCCAGTGGTCAGAGAGGTCCAGCAATACGCACTGGGATCGATCCCGTAGCCCACGCTCACCAAGCCTTCCATCCCTCCGGGTCGCCGAATTTGTAGCAGAACTGTCTAGGATGAAAGCAGTACCGACCCGGTACGTCTGTAGTCAGCCGCGAATCATAGTATAGACCAGATATACATTCGTTCACCTCTAGCGATGCTTAATGAAGTTGAATGCATGACGCATCCACTAGAGATTGATCAACGCCGAGCTTTATCCTTCGTGCTCTCACCGTAAAGTAGCCTCCACGCTTCCCTACTCCATTGCAACTTTGATACTGAGAGTGATTTCTAGGATTTCATATTCAAGTTTGAATTATTGGTGACACAGGTGATACGCTGTTGTAAAAAAAACACCCTTCCATTCTCATCGCCCTAAATGCTACATGTTGCCACTTCCGCTAACAATAGGAATAAAAAGCACCATTACCATACCTCAAAAGACCCCTACCTCCGTATAATCCGAACTACGAAGGAGAAATCGAGGTGGTTATTTACTCAACATAGTCTTGGAAAACTTCTAAAAGGTTGCACTTTGTAAACAACACGAAATCGTCATCGGCGACTTGACCATCAAGAATTGCCAAGACACATTTGGACCCATGAACTAGAAGGGATATAATGGCAACACGTCTCATTTCATCGCGACAACTATCTCCTTAAGTTAATTAACGTTTCCAGAATCCCTCCTCCTGGTAATGAGCTATAGTCTACCTAGGAGAAGTAAATCTCCCATCATTTGCAGCAATGTTAACCATCGAATGACTCGATCACGTACCAATAAGCCATACATCTTCTGTTGTTGTCCAAAAATCTAAGCTGCAATCGCCAAAGGGATTATAGAAAAACTACATTTTCTAAGCTAATCTCTCTTCCCTTCGAAAATTCATAGCAGATTGTCTGGGTAAAGCTTCCTCTAAATTATGAAAACTGGCTAATGCTTCTGGCAGACTGGGGAACGACTTGCAGAAACAACCTAAGATTCCATGAGAATCACCTTGACGAGCATTCAGCAACAATTATGAAAAAACAAAATCCTCAATTTGCAGGTAATCCCAACACGAATTCGAACAGCTTGGTGTGCAGATGGAAGACGACGAACTGAACAAATGAAATGCTGCGGCAAATACAAAATGTGGGTTCAGGTCGTGTATAAAACGATGAAAGCTGTCGGCGTTGATCAATTCCTGAGTGATGCGCCATGCGTTCCACTTCATTAAGCATCGATTTGAAGTGATCGAATTCCAATCTGGCTTTTACAGTGAGTCGCAATGGCCTACCGATGTATCGAGCCAGTGCTGCTATCCTTCCAAACAAGTCTGGTACCAATTTGCCGAGCCCCCAGGGATGGAGGGCTTAGTGGGTCCTGGGCGCGGGGATCGATCGCACGTGTATTCAAAGGCACCCCCGACTACTGCACCACACGCGGCCTTTCTCAAGTCATGTATATACAGATTCAATATAAAAAAACATCGACAAGATGCGTCCAAACAAATGTTATAAAAGCTGACCTCTCCAACACTACTGCTCAAACAGTGAGCTGATGAAGGTACAAATGTTAACGGTTCGTCGTATAAGCAGTCATATAATCGTCTCTCTTCAAGATTGGCAGATGACGTTGTTCCTTGCTCAGACGATGTCCCTAGAATATGCTGTTGAAAGCGATCACAGAAGAACATTAAGAAGTTTCTCCAGTGGATATACAAAACGCCTTCGCCGACCGTTAAAACTAAACAATTTTCTAGATCAATAGAAATATCATACATGATTTTATTTCAGGAAAGCAACAAAGACAACGACAAAAGGTAGCAAACTCATCCAATATAATGGGAAATAAGTAGGGAGGACTTCATGAAGAACAGAAAGACTAGCATATGGGAAATGAATTCTACTAGTACAGCGCTGAGACCGAACCGAGCTTTTAAAGAACAGGGTTGACAAAGAAAAAAGAGCAAGACAGAAACTTCAAACCCGGAACATATTATGTGAGTTGATCGATTGAAAGATGTAAACGTTCGGAAAATGCTAATAACAATAATGAATTCGAAGCCAATAATTACAAAGGGAAATGCGTAGCAGTTCAGAGTTTTGCTTACACTTATATGAGCATAAAAGACAAAAAATCTTTGAGATCACTTCATGAATACAATAGACAGAGATATATAACAATAACATATAATGATAAGATTTCTTCTAAGTTTTAATCATTAAAACTATGAAATCAACAGTACAATAATTCAGTGAAGAAACAGTCAATCACCACTCCCTAGTCTTCATTAAGCCCTCGTAACCCATGGACAGAATCAGGTAACGGTATTAGTGAAATAACCAAACGCATCCGTAATTGAATATGTAAAAATAGTAAAACTACATAAAAGTGAAATGCTCACACCCGCAAAAGTTCATGCTGAATAAGCACGGCAACAATAGGCCAGTGAAATGAGCAAAACGACAGAACGACAAATCGTCTCCAGATCATAAACTTTGAAAGTTTCCCATTTCAAGGTGGGCCTTGTCGTGGGCAAAGAACAGAATGTGATTCCCAAGATACTACACAAAAGAGCTGCAGAATGTACAAGCAATACTGAAATAACAGACGAAAATGCTCAACTTAATAAGAACTGGGCATTACCAAATAGTACTGGGGGTCTTTCCTTTTTGACGAATAAGGCTTGCAAGAGATTTTCAAGAAAAAATTCAGCTAAAAAGAAATATAAGACGTACGTCTTAGAAGTCACAACTAACTGATTGTTTCAGGTCAACAAATTCGTTTACACCCACGCCAATCGTCGAACCGAGATTGGGTCGTTTTGGGTGATCGGTAGTGTGGGCTAAAGGGTGACGATTCAACGAAAACGTTCTGTGCATTCCATGAACCACCACTGCATCATCAACATCAACACGTCTTACAATAACCTCCGACGGCTCGAATGCTGACACCTCCAAGTGAAGTGCAGCTAGTGAATAAGCACCAGCACATCTCGCAGCCATCGCACTGAACGCGGCCGATGAAGCAACACCTAAACCGCACACAACCACACCGTTAGAACAAAACAAAACCAAACCAATCATATGTGGTAGAATCATGATATTCCCTAAGTCACCAGAGACACACAACATCGCAACTCTATAATGCAAGAAAAATGAAAAATTGAAAAGCAAAACTAAACTTCGTTTGCAAAGCGATAAAGGTTTAAAGCTTGCCGCACGCTTTTAGTCGATTTCTATGCTTCCACGAAAAACTATGGCAAAGCAAAATAAAGAAACTCTAACTCCGATGTTGCCACTTTTTATTTACTTCCCACTCTTTTATAATGGCAGGGTATTATGTGAAATATAACCATAACGATGCTGAGATATTTGCAAAAGTCCGGACTGCTGGTGTCTGCTGTGGGGACCGAACAAGCTCTTATTCTTTCCGGGCATAACGCGTTCACCACCACTACACCGTGCGAGTCCTTCGTTTCGCCTTTCTCTCTCAGCTGTGTTATTGTCCTATAGGTGCCATCAGCTTCAGCTTATCAGGAGTTCAATGCCGATTTGTGCTTACCAAATCAACCCTGTTGAGGGTGATTGCTGATTGCATCTATGGGTCTAATACCGACCACATTTCACAGTAGACTCAAGAGTTCTAAACCAGTTTTGAGAGATTGAAATCACGCACACTGTTCAAGGGAATTCAAAAGATGGGAAACAGAACACTTTGCATCATGCCTTACGATCACTCATGCCATACACCAAAATACGACAATTAGGACAACATAAAACTTACATGCGAATACAAATGTGTAAGGGCGACGAAGAGGGTGCAGATTCATCGCAATACATACAGAAAGAATTTCGCGATGATCGGTGCTAGAGAACGTTTACGTGAAAACATCAACGATAAGATGACATCGTGTCGACTGAAACTCAGTGATGACTGGACGACCGAACCAATGATAACATGAAATAGATATCATTACTTCTCAAGAAATATTCCCGATTCATGCAAAACACATTCAGGTAATTGGAAGCGAAAGACACTCTACACAGTACAGAGCACCATTTCGATAAGCATTCAGCCAAGCTATAGAGAATGACGTAGTTGAGACGACAATCACTGTCCGTAACGAGTTCCCTTTCAGATCATTCTTACACCTACACAACAGTAGGAAACTTGAATTCATCATAGTCAATGAATAAGCTCCGTGAATTCATCGTAGTAAACTTCCAACCACAGAATAATGATCCACATGAATATGATGATGTAATAACGTTGCAATGCATGATGAAACATTGCAAACAAATCAATCAAAGGAGATAAATGCCACATGTAGTAGGAATATCTCACATTTACAAAAATTCGAAAAAAGCAATACCTATAAAAGTGCACTAAATGAGAAGCGAAGTTCGTTATAGAACTGTGATCACACAGTTCTATCGACCCATACAAACGATCCAAAACACATTGAGGAATTAAATAAAGCATCTAACTCGAATATTTCTAGAAATAAATTGGTTCCAAGCAACTACACTTCGCACAGGAGAGAGGATTCAGCGTAATGAAGCATAAATATAAGAAGAACAAGCAGACAAAGACTATGGTAGCAGTTATTTAGCTGGTATAACGCGAAGATTAATGCACAACTAGTCTTTGCCCTTAAAAGAATACGTGTCCTTAAATAAGCCAAGCTGAGTTTATCTTCAAGATGAAAGATGACAACAGAAAGAATACGTCATTCAGTGGCTGCTAAGACTGAAAGGATAAAAGGATAAAGCTCTCGGCATTGATCAATCCCTGAGAATGTGCCGTGCATTCGACATCATTAAGCATCGTTTGGAAATGACTAAGTGCAAATCTGGGCTTTACAATGACTCGCGGTGGCTCACCGATGTATCGAGCCAGTGCTGCTATCCTTGCAAACAAGTCTGGTACCAATTTGCCGAACCCGCAGGGACGGAGGGCTTAAGAGGCCCTGGGAGAGGGGATCGATCTCTTGCGTATTGCAGGGCGCCTCCGACTACTGAGCCACGTGCGTCCTTCTGCTAGAACTAAGTACGCCCAGAGGTTACAAGTAATTCCATGTTTAGCGCTATCTGCTCTACAACGCAAACGATTTCCATTCCAAAAAATCTACAAATGGGATGGATGGTCTGATACAAAATTAAAAGCAAGATTAGTGCGCTGATAAGCAAACTCATCTCCATGTATTACCAACATCGATAACATAGAAATTTTACCGCATAATAAATTGCCTGCTCATAAAAAAACGAAACATGAAGTTCTAAAAAAACTCACTTGACGGATATTGAAAAGAGAAAAGCCAATTTTCATCTACACGCAATGTTCTGCCAGTAATTCGAGCGTAGAATTCATAGCATTCTCGTGGAAAAAGGTTGATGTGACCAAATGAGGCAATTATATTCTTCACAACTTCTGATGCCAACTTAAATCTCTGCACATCTTCCACTTTCACCTGAACGAAAAAAGTAAAGTGTACTAGCAATGAATAAAAAAAACGGATGAAGTGGAAAGTGTACACCTAAATGGACAAAGCAAAACTTCATAAGGTACACGGGAAGCCTATGGAAAGTTCGCATGACTCCATAACACTAGCACCTGTCTTCCATCATGAATGCACGAATGGAAAAGGGAAGGAGCGACAGATATCGCAATTGCATCCGTATTCATCTTAGTGCCGTATGTTTCGGAACAGTCGGCCACCATTCGAAACGTGCCAAAGAGCAGCACAAGAAGATGTTGTGAAGGCACAGGAAGGGAGCAGAAAATCCTGGAATCAACACATTACTTAAGTTTCCTAATAAATAACTGTAGAGTGAAGGACAGATTCTCAAATATTTGTTTCACGTTACCTAAAGTAGAACACCAATCTCCAGATGGGGTATATTGCAAGCTGTAAACCACGATTGAACGATCATAAAATCAAAATATCATACAACTTTTGAAACTATAGAAAGAGAACCATTTGCTCAAAGTTGAAGATAAATCTACTAAATATAGAAATCTGCAAGTATGAATACTTGGATAATTGGGTAGCTCGTCTTCACTGGTTGTGCGGGATCCAGTACAATTTCCATTCGGAGTTCTACTCGTTTAGCCATTGTGGGTTCCTGGTGTCCCAAGCTCACCTAGACCAAAACCAGCCCCAGGTTGTCACCACCACAGACAGTCGCCACACCGTTGTGGATCAAACAGAAATTTGCCACCATGGAACTTGTTTGATACCTGGACGGTAGTGGACTCTAATGCTGGTTTACTTTTAGCTATACCTCCTGATGGAAACGTTGGACTTCTTCTCAGCTCGGAAAACCCTACCAAAGGGATCAACCGTCCGCTATACATCACAGCCCGACACTTAGGTACACCTCCCAGACACGATGAGGTAAACCGTTAGGAGCGCATGTATGAATAAGCATCGCCTACTGCAGTTGAAATTATTTTTGATTACAGTATTAAAACGAGAACAATAAAAGTGGTAAAGTGGTGAATCACTCTAGAGTTAGTGAAAAATTCACTAAAATAACATTCAAAGGATAAAACATTCAAAAGCATAACAGTACAGAAATAGTTACTACTGGATAATTCTAAACCAAATCCCAAAAAAGTAACTGACAATGCAAAAAGGCAAGCTGGAACAATTTTTTAATAGTGTTAACTTTTTATCTATTGCCTATTATTTTATTTCACGGCAGAGTATTATGTTAAACGCAACAACAATTACACCGAGATAGATCTATACATAATTACACCCTAGATCAACCCCGTTCACAGGTGATTGCTGATAGCGCTGATCAGTAGACCTAGCTGGGAGACAGGCGAAACGAAGGACGACTCACATGGTGTAGTGGTGAACGCGTTACTCCCCGGAAAGGACAATAGCGCGTTCGTTCTCCAGCGCAGACACCTGCGGTCCGGAGTTTCGCAAATATCTCAGCATAACTGTGGTTGTTTCACACGTAGTATTCTGCCATAGAAAATTATACTAGGCAGTAAATAGAAAGTTAACATTACGCCGAGGTATTTGCAAAGCTCAAACCTCAGTCTAGATTCGAACTCCCCATTACTCTTTCTGGGCACTCATATGTTACCCACTGTACTATTGAGGCCGTCGCTTTGGCTTTCTTTCAGCCAGTCAGAGTCTAGCATGGGGTCTGAGTTCTACAAATATCTCAGAATCATTGTGGCTTTAATTTTCAGACGGTTTTAACACGTTAACAGCAACGCTACACAAACGTAACTTATGAGCATAGCTGCTATTAATTAATGCATTATTAAATTCGGTTTACCGCCTCATCTTGGCTTGGGAAGTGTTCCTGGGTGTCAAGCTGTGATGTGTAGCAGTGGGATTCATCCACATAGCAAGGAAACCCGAACTGAGAAGTAGTCTAGCGTTTCCGTTAGGAAGTCCAGCTAAAATAAACCAACATCAGAATCCACCATCGTCCTGGTACCAAACTAGTCGCATGGTGGCAAATCTCCCTCTGATCCATATGGGCAGCGACTGCCTATGGTGGTAACGACCCGGAGCAGACTGGCTAGACTGACCTCGAGACCCCACAGCCACAATGACTAAATCAGTAAAACTCCGAAAAAATGGAAATTATGCCGCACAACCAGAGAAAATAGACCATCCAAGAACCAAACACCAAGTGTTAAACACCTTAAAACCCTCGAAAACAAGATTTGATTGTAGAGTAGGACTTAGAAAAGATATAAGCCATCGATGTTTAAATGCTTGACTGATGACAAAGAAAAATAGAGAAAAATACAAAGTGGGAATAGACCTACCACTGAGTAATATTTAACAATATATGAAGTATTAAATTATAAGCTGATAAGCTGCCAACCTGTAGAACACTTGACGTTGCTTGTCCACCTCCGCTTTGTTTAATGCGCTATTGAAAAGGATTTGCTCATTTTCTACTCCAAAAATACCACCAGGAAGTTTCGACAAGAACTTCTAAATAGTTCGTAAGAGATCTAAGACAAGTCCTACAATTCCTTAGATGAAAGATTTACCTTTATCACTGATGCTGCTGTATATACACTAAAATTAGCTATGTTCACCAATCGGCCATGTTGCATAATGTGTGATAACTTACGGACCTTAAGAAGTATTCAGTTCTTCAGAAGAATTTACTATCGATTTAACAAAAGCCTCTGTTGAAAGCTCAGATCCGAACTTCCGAAGTAATACAGAATTTACTCGAACAGATTACAACCTACTTGAGCTTGATTACCCGGTGCGCGCCAAATATCCTTCTTTAGGGGACCCTCCTTATTCACTTTTAATAGCAATACCTTAATGCAAACATAAAGACATCCAGACAATAAAAAAAAAAACTGGGGAACTTTCTAGAGACTCACCAAAAGTGTTGCAGGAATATCATGAGCAAACGCTTCATTTATGGGAACACCGAACTTCACTCTGTAAACGACAAGGCCAATTCGGAATGGAAACTATGAAAGAGTAGTTCTGGCTCAAATAGACGATTGAATGATTGATTTATTCGATTTGATTTGATCAGACTGACTTTAATGCTCATTGCAATTTTTCATGGCAAGGTATTGTATGTAATAAGACCACAATAATACCGCGATATTTGCAAAACTACGGACCGCAGGTGTCTGCGGTTAGGAACGAACGCGCTATTACGCTTTCCAGAGGCTAACGCGTTCACCACCACACCATGCAGATTCTTTGTTTCGCCTTTCTCTCAGCTAGTATAGTTTTTCTTTTTCTCGTTTGAACTATCTTACTTCTCAATCCGTCCCCTGTAACGCTGATGAAGATCATCCGATGAGTTACCGCACAGCACCATGCCATAACTGGCGACGACAGTCATTCGCGTCGTAATAATGAAGAAGAGATTGGTCTCCAGCGGAGCCTCAACGTACCAGTCTCTTACACCAAGTACGGTATGAATTGGTCACAATGTGCTCTAAAAGTTGATCCTTTAAAATGATCCTCCAGTTAATACTAGCGACTAAATTTAGCGACGAAAATGATGATGGAACGTTGCTGATTTGCAATAAAAGGAAGAAGAGCTAAAGAAACCCCGACAAGTAACTGGAACTCGAAAGGGTAAGACGATATCAATGAATTGCCATCACAACCTTCATATTGAACACTGAAAATAAACTTGCCGAAGGTTAAAACTTTCTAAGGAGTAGATGTTGGCTCAGTGGAAAGTTAAACTGGACTGAAATGAAGTACTAGTGAGCTTTTGTACTAAAAATCCACATCTAACTCGATTAGTGCAACCCAAAAAGACAATGTCATAAAACAACTCCTAACAACTTATAACCAACTGTCTACAGAATGTCAATGTTTTCTGATTTTCTGAAACAACTGTGATCTTAAAGGCTTTTCAAGATTTCTGCGGAGCAGTCTAAACCCCCCACCTCCGCCCCTCATCATCCTCTTCTCAATAAAAAAAAGGAATCTCGAAGAACTAGTTTGATTATGAGATCCATTTGTTATCATATCGAAAAAAAAACAGCTTTAAGAAGCAAAAATAGAACAAGTACATAATAAATAAATGAATAACATATAAATATATGATAATAGTAAAATAATAAATAATACAGAAATAGAATAAATACAATTGGGTGAGACAGATATACTCTCGAAATGACCTAAACACCTAGCAGGACATAATTTTTCATTGAATCGAAGCCTACTACTTCTAAAATGTTTCTACATTGAGTTATACGAGACTCACCTAGTCAGGGGGAACGAGCCCTGCTCAACTGGTGGACTGCATTCCTGTAGGCTCGTGATAGTTTCTATATATAAAATATAAGAACAAACTAAAAAACAACAACTAACTCCCTTGTAGAGCCAAAAACACCTAGAACAAGCCTTAACACTTGTATTTATTATATTTTCCATTACGTTTTTGCAATACATTTAAATTATTTCTAGAGTGAGCTGTATGAGACTCACCCGGGAATGAACCCTGCTGAACTGGTGGATTACATTCCTGTAGGCTCGTAATATCTTCTATTTTCTATATGTTAACACATGCACCTCCAACTCTTGAAAACAAGAAGAAAAAGCATAAAGTCAGAGAAAGTGCATCTACCTTAACATCTTTATGAGAGTAAGAGCGGTTCGTTCTCATAACAGACGAGATCAAACTCGGCGGTCTTAGATTAACTTTTTAAGAACTGCTGCTCGAGACCTTTTAATAGAACTACCAGATTGTAAAAGAAGAGTACGTAGGTAAAGAATGAACCAGAACCGTCTGGAGAGCGAGTGAGGGACGGACAGATGGACAAGTAGTGGAGTGGAACCGCCTCCCGCCGATGGTCAGTGTGGTCGGTGTGACGCGCATCGATCGCATGCCCAGTCGCGTCGCCGCCACTGCTGCTGCAGGCCGGACGGCCGCCAGCGGCACACTTGGCTCGCTAGTGCTCGTTAGAGCTTAATAGTAGGTTTTATTTTCTTGTCGATACTCGAAATTTAACGAAGAAGCCACAAGCTGGACGATCTCATTAGCATACATTTTGAGAATTTCAATCCGTACACTTTCTCCTAACTTGCATACTTGGATGACTCTGTCTTCACTGATTGTCTGGGCCCTAGCAAAATTTCTACTTTTTCGTTTTCGGAGTTTTACTGGTCTGGCCATTGTGGTTATCTGGAGTCCCGAAGTAAGCCTATCCAAAGTCTGCCCCAAGTCGTCAACACCACACGCAGTCGCGACCATTGTGGATCAGAGGGAGATTTTCCGCTATGCACTGGTTTGATACCAGGACGGTGGTGATTCCTGGAATTAGTTTACTCGTAGCTGGATTTCCTGATAGAAACACTCCTCAGCTTGGGAGGCTCTGCTGGAGGGATGAATGAACCCCCTCCCGGCGGTAAACCCTGAGAAGGCACTCTCTGTTAACGGAAGCATGTACGAATATATCTATTCGTACATGCCGAATTACACAGAAAGCGCTAATCGTGATTTCTCTCTCCATATGACCCACTTTCACATCTATTGTTCAGATCTTAGCACTTCTTGCAGTCGACTCATTTCGCTGCATCCTCCATCATCCACGAAGGCCTTTGAAGTTTTGAGTATAGATTCGGCTGCTATTTGAGGATTTTTCATCATCGTTATGAATGTCGTTGAATAGTCACCGAGTCAATTCATCATGCGTCTTGGAAAAATCGTTCCGGCGTGTTCCCACGTGGACTGCAGAAAGTGAAGTGTTCCCAAGCAAGTTTAGTAGCAATTTCTCCATCCCATTGCTGCTGCAGCTTGGTGGACACTCTTGCCTGGTCCTCATTAGAGCTTAATAGTAGGTTAGTAGTATGTTTTATGGAACGTCGATACACGCTTAACGAACAGGCGAAACTGGATCCCATTAGCATACATCTCTACAGGTTCAATCGTACACTTTTTGCTAAAGAAGAAAGTAAAACTACTTGTGTAGGAAAGCATAGCTATTCGTACGGCCCATACCACATAGAAAGCGCTAGTCGTGGTTTTTTCTACAGGACCTGTCTTCACATCTGCTATGCGATTCTTAGGATTTCTTGAATTCGACTCATTCCGCTCGATCCATCGTCCGCGAAGGTCTACGAACTTTTGCGCATGGGTTTCGGTTGCTGCCTGAGGATTTTTTACCTCCGTTACCAATGTCGTTCAATAGTCATCGAATCGATTCTTCCTGAGTATTGGAATAGTAGTGCTAACGCTATATGACGTAGAAGGCAGAGAGTGAACTGTTCCCAGACAAGTCTACTACCAATTTCAGCACCCAGAAGGCTTATTGTATTCTAGGCGCGGTTGAATCAGCACCGTGCTCATCATGAACGGGAGATCACTACCACAGCGCTACTCGCTCCTATTTTTTACCGTAGTACATAATAAATTCAGTGATCATTGTTAACTTTTTTATTTACTTCCTACTACAATTTTCCATGGCAGCGTATTATGCGATGTACAACTACGATGATGCTGAAATGTTAGCAAAACTCCGGACCGCAGTGTCTGCGATGGGGATCGAACCAGCTATTACCTTAGAAAAGTACGATGGAAACATAGAAAACTGGGTGACAGAAAGGCGAAACGAAGGACCCCATGGTATGGTGGTGAACGCGTTAGCGCCTGAAAAATGTAGCGTGCTCGGTCACCATCACAGACACTTGCATACCGGAGTTTTGCAAATATCTCAGCATCACTATGGTCGTATTTATGTGATTAGTTTCCTGTAGCGATAGAACGAAGTTGGTTGTCTTCAAGGGCTTTCATGACCATGGATATAGTGGTTAGAGTGAAAATTGTGATGGGTTAACTAACCATCACTACAGTTTTATGTGAATACTATATATTGGGATGAGAAACTGCTGATAACAATGCTTTCAACTGCTCAAGAAATATATAAACTCACTTGATACTTGAATGGCCCGTCCTCACTGGTTGTGCTGGTCCCAGCATAATCTCCAATTTCTCGGCGATTCGCTGTTAAACCATTGTGGTTCCCTGGAATCCCGAGGTCAGCCCGGCCAAAGTCTGCACCAGGTCTTCACCACCACGGGCAGCCGCAGCCTTTGTGGATCAGAGTGGGATTTGCCACCATGCGACTTTGATACCAGGACGGTGGTGGATCCTGGTATTGGTTTACTCTCAGCAGGGTTTCCTGATGGAAACGCCGGACTCCTTCTCAGCTTGAGAGACCCTGCCAGGGGACGAATCCTCAGCTGTACATGGCACTCCGACACCACGGAACACCTTCCAGCCATGATGAGTTGTTGCGTATTTAGCTGTGTAGCATTCTCATTTCCTAATTCGTTTAAGACAATAGCTGAACGACATATCTTTCATAACAACGTAATTGACTAAAAAAAAGTGGCTGGTCATGCATAATTCTTGTATAAGGGGACAACTGAAGATGCATAGGTAAGGAAAATCGCTAAGTCAATAAAAGGTTGGTGAAGAAATCTTACTGCGTTAAACGGACCGAAAAAAAGCAAAAAAAAAAGGCTAAACAAACAAATAGACAAGTATTAAATGACGTACAAGTCGGCTAAATGCATTGAAATGTCCACGCATCTCTTAGATGCTCAGCCGGATTCGCGTAGAGTTGTGTCGATCTATAGAACCCGATAAACCGGATGAGTTAATTAGTCAGATCGGTGGTCATGGCTATAAATCATTCTTAAGTGGGTCGCTCATATCGTAAGTTTTATATAAAACACTAGTGACACACATAAGTATTAGCTATCTCTAGAAAAACGGCTAGAAAACATGTTGTAAGATATAATGAAATAAAAAGGACACAATGTTATACCTTTTTTTAAATTTTCTGCCTACTGTAATTTCGCGGCAGGGTACTAAGCGAAATACAACCACAACGTTGCTGAGATATTTGCAAAACTGTGGACCGCAGGTGTCTATGGTGGGGAACGAACGCGCTATTGTCCTTTCCGGGGAGTAACGCGTTCACCACCACACCATGCGGGTTCTTTGTTTCGCCTGTCTCTCAGCTATTTCTATCGATCTTTGCCACATCTTTATAGTAGGCAGAAAATAAAAAAAAAGTATAACATTGTGATTTCAACTACAGAACAAAGGACTCGCATGGTGCGGTGGTGAACGCGTTACTCCCCGGAAAGGACAATAGCGCGTTCGTTCGCCACCATAGACACCTGCGGTCCAGAGTTTTGCAAAAAGGACAGAATTGCAAATCACCTATACCACCTGTAATATTGTTCGTTATCGAATTGCTCAACGACGTACGAAGATGAGCACGACTTGCTTTCCCAGCTACTTAGTGAGTTTAGTGAAGGGATACTTTTGGTGCCATAAACTGTATCTTTACCGCTTTTAGGGTGAGGACTGCC